CATGAACTCGGACAGTTTCCATCATGATTCATTAAATGCTTCAATTTACCGTCCAAATCTAATAAAACTATTAGGGGGAACAGGTCAATATGCCATCCCCATTGGTGGTCGGGAATCTAGGCCAATCATCACTACAATTAGTGTTAAGGAAACTTTATGGGTGCCACATACCTTTCACTTTTCACTCTAGTACTTCACGTGAACAATGAAGAACCGAACTAACTATTCTCAGAAAGTTCATAATACTAGCTCTCTAGTTAACTATGGACCTCATAATCGATAGAAAGAGAGCGCGGAACAGACTGATTTTATACTGCCATTGCTAAAGCTGCAAGTCTTTTATATAAAATTATTGCAGTGCTATATGTTCTGGGATTTGGGACGTGGTTCACTCTGCAACAGGATTAGTTGCAGCTGTCACCAATCATGATAGCAGAGAAACGCAGGTCAACCCAACTTTAATATAGGTTCGATTAAATGTCAATCAATAGCTGGTCGCGGACTTGGGGGTGTGCCGTGTCTCTCGTAGCAGCTCTAAATTTAAAGCTTCGACCATCTGTGCAGTTGACATTGTCCTCACAGAAATAATCTTTGTAATAAGTGCTTATTTGATGGGCCCTGTCGTTGGACGGATTTAAAGTCTAAATTTGGATCTTTATAGAAAACAGGCGGAGCTGCATCAAAGGAATATCAAATTATATCTAGATATCAGCCACTAGCATTATGTGGAAACAACTAAATTTCTAAATTTAAGCAACAATTTTCATAACCACCCCACCCGGGTAACGGAAAATATGTTTGTGTACTTCAGGAAAAACTATGTAGCAATAAGTGCTAATACTTAAACAAACGGTGTGTAAAATGAAACATTACACGTACTGAAGTACAACCTGACAAATAGGATCTACTTGAGGGCCTTTGTGGTGCTCTGAGAAGCTGAGGTCCGGTTATAAATATAGGATGGCAGGATGTTACGTAACAGTGACACTTTGTCACTTCCTCCTACAACAGCACAAGTGTGATCGGAAATCAATCAGTGACACACGTGTCCCACCTTTGGTCGCCTGCACCCAGGCCCAGCCCCATTCTCACAGGTTCGGGTGGCCAAAAAATTAAATTCGACAAATCACGATGATGTGGGGGTGATTTTCGCCCTGAGCACTGCATACTTTCACCTTATTATGTCGGGAAATTATAAGACGTGGGTTGAGGATTGGTCTACATATTAAAACTAAGATGGTCTAAGCAAGGGACGTGTCGAGCAGTTTAGACATGCTAAAGTGTTAATTCGTGTCCAATTGGCAAGGGCCAGCGGGGCTCCAGAAGTAGTGGTCGTGGGAGCCCGAGAAGGAGTCACGTGGCAGTCACCTGACACTGACCCTGTCCCTGCCCTCTGTAATGATCCTATTTCTTTTCTAATCCACAGCTACATGTTTACTAAACATCAGGTAATTCAATTTGGATTTGGAACATAATTTAGTACTTGAGGTTGGGTGGTCAGAACTGAAAATAACAAGGTTGTCGCGGTGACTAAACAGTGTACTCCTGACCATGGGGGTAATCAGAACATGTGACAAAGTTCCGGAAAACGAATGTCTCTTCGGCCCCACGCACAAATGCCGAAATTGACCGGAAACGTCATAAAATGAACAGTCTTAATACTATCAATTTTAGACTGGAGATTGTGAAAATGCAATATTCAATTTCAAACGAAGAAAGATAAGAACTGAAATAACATCATCATGTTTCATATGATTGAATGCTGAATGGTAATTGCATGTGAACATCAGTACTGGAAATTCTGAGAAACATGAGAAAACCTTAAAATGACAATGTAAAGACAGGATTGCAAAATTCCCTCATAGCGTATTTATCAACCTGAAAATGCTCTCCGGAAATGTTAACGAGTACGGCTAAGTTGGGAGAAAAGAGATAACAAAAACTAAAACAGTTTTTCGAATTGCATCACCAAACCGGCAATTCACAGTCTAAAAGATGAAAATTTCATTAAGGCGCAGAGGTTTAAGAAGGCGCTACTTGACAGAGTTCCAGGTCTAAGGTTCAGGTCTGACCTACTAAAGCAGCTAAGGAGCTGTTCAGCCGTCCCGACTTGAACTAAGGATTGCTATCAGCCCCTCTATTGTATTATTGTCCGAATTTTGTGTTGCGACAAACCGTCCCCAGCCAATAGAAAAAGTAGTACGAGCCGCTAAGCCAATAGGGACGAAATAGTTGACCACGTGGTATGACCGATTGTAACGAGTATAAGCAGATATCGTCGTTATCTGGTCATTTGCCGGACAATTCCCGTCAATTCATTGACGAGGGATTAGTCCGATCTGGGACAATGGCAATTCTTGTTTTATTCAATTACAGGAAGTACCCCGACAAGGCCTTTCCACAAATAGGTTCACGTGATTTTGTACTAGAGTTACTATTGGTGGACCAGGAGGTCAAAGGTTTGCAACCCACCTTAAATCACGGGGAGAATACCGCAGATATTTAACGGGAGACAACACTTAGATGCAACCAAACGCAAGTCAAAATTAAAAGTAGTGGTAATTCTATTTGGTTGAATAGGCGAGATCCTGGCAGATCCTTACGAAAATGGAGTTAGAGTTACAACGATTATAGCTAAAGCCGTGGGAGGGTCAGGACTACCATCAAAACGTTCTAATTCTCGGTACGAGCTCGAACCCAACAAAAGTAATGCTCCAACGCGGCTCGGTTAAATCAGTAAAAAGCTCTCGCTCTGTCCGCCATAAAACTAGAGTGTCGAGTCTGTGGTAATGCGGCATTCCCGTCCTCTGTACATGAGATGATGCCAGTACAGTTGTTGCAACTACTCTCCGGCTACCTACTCGGCCCCACACAACTCATCGTGGGAAATTAGCGAACAAAGCATGTCATGGAGACTAGCAATTTGACACTCCCACTTTATAAGGCAACAATGGGAAAATGTAAAAGAACAACGTCATGGAGGTTAGCCTGTAGGACAATATTGTACATCAACTGTCGCAAAAACTATAACACATATATCGAAATATTTAATAATAGAGTCAAACTTTATTTGCCGCATTGAAAGCCGAAACCGATTGAAGTTGTTGAGAAATAAAAAGTAAAAGTGGTTGGAAATGCAAGACAAGTGGCCCGATGGGTCAAGAAATGTAGCAATCGGACGCCATTAGTATTTAAGATATTGTACAAAATATACTAACTATAAATATATAATCGCGTAAAATAATGCATGATAGTCGCACTTACAATCAATTTACAATTTCTCCGTATCTGCCAAGCAGGATGAACAGTTAAAACTCTCTATTATTGAAGCAGTTGTAAGAAATCTCTTAGTGCACTTTCCTCTTCAGTAGATCCACACATCACAGTGACCGAAGCAGTGGGAAAATAATCACATACGGGGAAAAAATAGGCGTGCCGACGATTTGGAGCATACTGAATTCGACAGAATATGTGATTAAGTATTAACAAAGTGATCACAATATTGCATTGTAAAGATTTGAAAGTTTAACATCCATTAAATTAAATATCAAGCAACTTGAGGAAATTCTACGGCCGTCGCTAACTAATTATTGATCATTGAAGTCACCGAGTTAATCACATGGTACCCTTTCCGCTTTACAAAGGGTACCACTGCCAACAATAGAAGAACGACTGACATAAGAAACAAAAGTAAACGATAGAGTTTAAAAAGAAATCTCTTGCTGCTTGGGCTGGATCAAGCAATGATCGGTGACAGGCCACCCTTTGTGGTTTTACTTAATTCAAAGAGTATTGAAAGACAATAAGTAAAATACACAATGTTGGTGGGATTGAGGCAATGAAAACGTGAAGCCTTGGTCACATTAAATCTTTCAAATGAAAAAATTGGTCAGAGTTAGTTGAAAGTATAGATATTATAGCTGGAAGCAGGACAACTATATACCTCATATTTCCTTTAAATGAAACGGCTCCTGTGAGCAAAAACCACTTCTATCGAAGAGAAACCGACAACAAAAGTTAAAATATACCACAGAATGTAATGTAGTATGTAGTAGTATCGAATAGTTTGTTCGAAAAATCATTGAATATAATGTTATTAAAATAGCATGGGAAATGATAAAAATCGAAGAAAACTCTCGAAATTATTGACTCATCGGAAAAGACAAGTAAGCAATGTTTATTCTACATGTTATCGATGATTTGATAAACAAATAGACCACATTATAGTCACCCAAAAACTTAAGAAAGTTCTGCACTGATCAAGTAAAATCTGCACCATCATACAGTACGAAGTTCAGGAACTCAAAAAGAATTGGCGAGCTGGTAATATGTGAGTCGTGAAACTCACTCCATCTTGTTGAGGTTGCACTGAAGAGGGAGAGGAGGGGAACTTAAAAACTGTAGGAAACTCCCACCTTAGGAGACGTGACGTAGTAGGCCGACCTGTCAGATTATTAGGTAATATCCTGGTTCAGGGTCAACACCAATTGTAATGCAAACATAGGGCAGCAGACACAGCAAAAATGTAGACCCACCAGCACATGATGGGGAGCCAGGGTCGATAGAGGTTGGTTCACGGCTCGGCACAACTGTTAATTGCAACGGCACACCCTGGTAAAATGGACGCACGTGCCACATCGGCACACCTCCAATGTCAGAGGTGGGCAAAACGCACCAAATTTGACTGTTCGAGAAAGCTCCATTAAAAAGTAATGTTCGGCGGACAAGTGCAAACGGTTAGGGTCAGCTCTTTTGGTGCCGTAAATTTCGTGAAAAATCGTTGAATGTGGCACACAAAGTAAAGTTGGCTCAATTAGAAGAATTAGTCCAAAAATATCAATCAATAAGGAAATTAAAATTTGGGCCCGGCTGAGTGTGAAATATAGCGTGAGTTGCGTGATTAGGTCGATAACAAGAATTTCACGTGAGACTAATCAGAGGATTCTGATCGGTAAATCTTTTAGAGAAATTATAGAGGGTTATATAATATCAAGGCTTACCTGAAATAATTTGTGGTCATAACTCGAGTTCAGGCAGCTCCTATTTGCCCTGTTTGCCGACTCGACGTTCAAGTCCTATTCCGGGACAGACTCGAACATCTTGACGCCAATCAACAACAGCATCCATCCTGACAAAGTGAGTTGCGTAAATTTCGGTGCTATCTCAGAATCCAAAAAGAAAACAGCGGCAGAAACAAAGCAACTTGGAGCGAATAAAAATCCAATAAAAGACAACTCATAGTTGTAAAATGTAGATATGCTTAACTGTCCCTTATTGATAGCAATTCGGTACTTAGACTTTTCCACAAAATCAAATATCGCTGGATATGGTCTAGTTAAGAAACATCTATCCTTTTAAAGTCTAGACAAGGCGAATGTTTTCAGTCAAGTAGCTTGGTATTACAATATTACAGTATAACGCATCCTCGCTTCCACTTAGATAATGTCCGAGAATGAACTGAGAATCGATAAATGTGGTTTGTTGTCTTATCTTTAATCTTAAGGGTGACACATTCCGCGGTCACTATTACCAAAATACAGCCGACAATCATTTATTGCGGGAAATTCCTGACAACTACCGTCAACAATTAGTCTTGATAACAGACGATGCGGTCATCTGTATACTTGCACTGGGTAAGAACACAAGTAACCCTTGGACTTGTCATGAGCACAAGTATCGGCAATCCGAGTAACTTAGAGACTTGAATTTCATTAGAACAGCCAGAGAGTTAAACGAGAAAACCTTGAAAATCAATGCACAAGAGTGACATACTTCACGGTAGGACAAGCATTTTAAACTGACACTTGTCAGGATACGTCTGGTCATGGGAATCAGGATAACTGATCAAGTACCTGTTCGCAAGTACGGCTAAAGTGGCAAAGACAAACTGCACGATCAGGCCATCTGTTCGGTACAGTACACGCGTGTAACTGGGAGATGCTCAAGAACAGCCAATCAGTGTAGATTCCAAAACACAGGGTGAAACGCGCGCGGCGTGCATTTCATTTCCTCTGCGCTCGTCTTTGATGTTTGAATTTGGAGTTATCCCGACGCGGGTCTGGCGTCTGCGGATTGTCAGATTGATAATGATTACCAATTAGTGGCTGGTTTGCGTTCTGAATATTTTTGTTAAGCCCTCTGTCTGACAGGTTTTCAACCATTTTCTTACCATACGAGGCTTTAAAGTAGTTTAAAATTCCATCTTGTTATAAATGTTTACAATTTTATAATCTATGCATGTTTAAGTTCTCTCTTTTGGGGCCGCCGTTATGATCTAGGAAGACAGGGTACCGCACTTTTCAGATTTCGATAAAAACTTGGCAACCGGAGCAAAAATGGACTCATAAGTGCATCATAATTACATAGATAAACTATAAAATTGTCTGTACTCTGTATGTTACTACTTACTCATCAACTTCTCATTCAGGTTATCAATGCAAATGACCTTTTTTTAAAGATAATCTTTCTACTCAAGCTATTCAAGGAAAACTGTCTCATCTGCAAAAACAAGAGACAAGTGGTATTGAGGTTGGCCTTTTGGTTGGACATTCACAGGTTAGTAGACCCCGAAGCCTCAGCGAGTGAAAAACAAAGCAGATTTAGTCAAACCTTTGAACCTGTCGTCGTTGCTTGAAGTCGATGCTTAATGTCTTTTAACTAATTTTAGATATTCAATTTCGGTACAGCTTAATAATAATATTAAGTGGTTAATCTTACTCCTAATTAAGAGACAAATTTATTTGAAAAACGAAGATGGTTTTACCAACTTAGTGAACTTAGCAAGAGATAGAGTAGGATGGAGGAGTTTATTTATCTTGAGACATATTGAACGAAGGAGTCTTCGAAAGCGTAAATAGGCCAGCACTTTGCTGAGCCTCTTTAGGTGCTCTTTTGTTTATAGATGTTATTATATAATCTTACTCAGGTCATGCGAATTATGATGATCAGGAAGAAGTAAACTGGAAATATGATTACAAAAAACGTCGCAATAATTGTCAACTCAGACTTTTCACTATCACTACACGAGCTCAGACAATCAATAAAATAATGAAGAGGTATGCTTCGAAACAAAGCCTTTTCAGCATGTAAGAGTATTAACAGGATTTTATAACAGGTGCATTTGTGTAGTCGGCCACTGCGTCAGCGTTGCGCAGATCACATTTTTTGTACTATACAAACTGTGAACTGCATGTATAACGATGCTTTCAACTATTTGAGGTACATGTCGATTACAAATATCAGAAAAATGAAACTTCGAGGCATAAAATGTTTTTGAATAATCAAGGAAAGACAAATAAAAATATAGCACAGCACTTGGTTATCACTGTCCTTATCTGTAACATCTAAAATCTGATAAGTATTATGAATATATGGAGTAATGACAACTGAATGATTTTAAACTCTTTGAACAGATTGCTATATATCATATAATATATATATTGGAATAATAATTAAAACTAGAATATTCTGGATCTTATAATATCCACTATCAATTCGGTGTCAGAACATAAAAAGGATATTAGAGAGAAGAAGCGACTGCGATTATTCTCGCTTATTCACTCTACACACAAATTCCACCATAAATCGTGCTATCAGAATACATCCGAAAACTGTCAAAATAAAACAAACAAAATGCCTTATCACTCGCCCTAGATTAACCACTGGTCCGATACTCATTTCATAACTTCCCATCTTGATATAGCTTAACGGAACTTATATTTGGCCGGACATTACATGAGCGCTGGAGGGCCCAAAATTATGTCCGTTCGCGTATTGTCCAACCAAATTAGGTCCGATAAGGTAGCATATTTTTTGTGGATTTTGTGATTTCTTATGTTTCAGCTCAACTTCAAGCACAAGCTGAGTTTGTGTACTTCGATCTTCTATTCGGGCACACGTGCAATGAGACTTCTTAACTTTTCATAGAATCTACCTGGCAGGAATACAGCTGTATTAATTAAACTGACAGATTTCACATTTATCCCCTTGCTGATTTTACAAGTTTCTATACGCGGGGTTTTTCGTTCAACAAATTACATTTTTCATTCTTGTGCTCTCTTGACATGAAGAGAAGTTAAAGGCGGAGTCATTTATTTGTGGTACGTCTTTTCTTCTTGGAAGGGTTAAAACAGCTGTTTTGCTACCTTTCTTATAGCAGTAATTTAGAGTCTCAGAAGAATCGGTGAAGTTGGCATGACAAAGAAAATAAATTGAGGTAAAAATTGTTATAAGATGTACATTGTACTGACTAATGCGTATTTATACGCTTTTTTCAAACCTAAATAAGTGTTATTACACTCATTTTGGTTTGAGAAAGCCATGGCAGTGAATTTTCCCTAGTTTTCAGTGAAGCCTGTATAATAGTGTACAATCCTTTTTTCTGTTATTCGATCAACATTCATTACAGAAATCACGACTGTGGTACTGACTGTATGGTTTACTGAGCTTCATTCTAGCTGTGGCCTACCTCAGATATTAAATCGCACCGCGATCAATTGTTTCTCGACATTTCGTACGTCAAATACTATTAAAAATAACAACTGAGTGCTGACGGTCCTCAAATTTCATCTCTGACGTACCCCTGTCAGTGTCAGACCATCAACTATAACTATAAGCCCGTTGCCATTCGGTTGTCATGGCAACACTTGCCGCAGGTGCTATAGTAATGGCGAAATTTAAGCTCCAAACTACCTTTATATTTGACTATTTTTACCCATCTCACAAAAATAAATGATCTCCTTTTATTTTCCTTCGTCGATTTTCCAAGATTATAGATAATTTGTAATTACAAGTCATGAAAGGGCTCGACAAATCTACAATTATCTTATCAAGCTCGCTCGTGGCTACTTTTCTCGGGGAGAGGCTGTTGAGCTGCAATTATTTTTCTGATAATGTGATCTGACCTCTAAATCTCTCGTTCAGCTCATATAATTGAGATCACGTGATTACCAAGTCAGATCACGTGATTGAAACAACCAATACGAAGGTTATCTCCTCTTTATCTGACCAATGAGATAGTTGCTGAGCAGGTGCGAAACTGGCTTGACAGCGGGACAATTATAGTGGGCTGTAGGGCAAGTCTACAGGTGTTTGAACTATGGTGCTCAGCAGTCAGCATGCTCTTAGTGCTTTTTCTGCCGATTATCATTTGTTCATTTTGTTGTATCTTTGTTCGCTATGCTACATAATCGTAGACTTTCAGCTGATACTGGTCCTTTTTTGTCTCAGACTGCTTACTTTGTGCGATATTCTTTGTTTTAAAACTACTTTTACCCTCAAACTCGGTAATTTACAATTTGCGTAAACCATTTCAATAACCACAATTTTGTATGACAGCTGTAGAATACACTGGAATTTTAATTGGTCTTACTAAAATAATTAATAAAAAGCAATTTCGACTTTTTTCAGATCATGTCTCGATGATCGTCGGGTATAATATTTTGTGCATTGTAGTAATTATGATTTCATTGCAGGTAACAGAAGAGCTGGAGTAGAATTAAGTGAGATAACAAATTGGTCTAAAAAACAGGGCAAGGACTTTGGAATCTTTTGTGACATTGTATCCTTTTTTGACGTATCCTTTTGAATTGAATCGAGTGTTATGTGTGTGTCCGTGAGAAAATGTGCGACCATGTGCAACGCAGTGATCTGTATACTCCCACATCATCCTCTCTGTCACCCGACCTCACTCACTCTCCCTCACTCACCAAACATCACGAAACATCACCCACTCACCACTAGTCTCCTGATATTCTGACTGCTTTTTGAACTTTGTTTTATTCCATTTCTTGCTGGCTGAGTTTTGTGCTGTTTTTAACAGAGCACCCCCAGTAACTTGCAATATACCCCGGACTTTATACACTGGTACAAGACAAAGACACTGGAATCATGATGATAACCAGTTTGACGAAGAAATTAAGGTAAACAAATTTTATGCACCTAGTTGACAGAAAACAAGATCGAGAATTAATTAAATTAACCGGCCGGATTGGCTAATTACGAGGTGAATCTATCGTCCGTCCTTATATCTTTTGTTTGCTAAACTGTCAAGAGCTCAAACTTTTTATTTCAAATTTCAGTAGCTTATGTTACAGTTAACTACTTTTAAGGGTTACAAGCCCGACTCTGAGGTTAGCCTGCAGTGTGACAAGGATTACCACTTTGAAGACGATAAAGACTTAAAGGAGAGAATGTTGAAGTGTAACGGTGTAGGAGAGTGGGTACTTTGGGGGGAGGAAACTTCAGAAACTTGGCACAAATCTGTCCCCTGTGTTCGTGAGTACTTATTGTTAGTTTATTGTGTAACTATAATGTCAAATGTGGTGTAACCGATCATCATAGCACGTGGTTTTTAAATATCTGCTATGAAATTTTGATGTGATTTTGAAGAAGTTTAAGTTACAATGAGATATCGATTATGTAAAGTTTTGTCATCGCTTGCTTATATTTCCTTGTACTTGATGGAATGCTTCGACATTTCAATCTTGATGAGATTATTTTCAGACCAAACCACATGTTCTTATCCTACTAACGTTGAAAAGAAGAATGGTGAAGGTACCGTAAAACTGGAGGTTGGCGAGAAACTGTATTGCGAAGAAACGGTCACTCTTGCATGCGGTTTAGGCCTGGAAATGTTCACAAATGATACCGGCGAATATCGGTTTGTGGAGAGATATTGTTCTACACATTTTCCCGTTTTTTTGCACGTTAAATCGCGTTTTCACGTCTTAATATTAAAAGAGTGGTTAATAATCGAAATACTATTACATTTGAAAAATGATCTGTAAACCTCAGGAAGACAACTGACAGGCACTATTGAAGTGACTTGCCTGAAAGATGAAGAGGGCAGTAATGTGGGGAAACTGTCAGCAAGCATCATCTGCGGTGAGTACAGGTTCTTGGATAAAATGTGTTGCTGTTCAATGTATTCATGGCACGTTATTATATTGCTGCCATTTCAACCACCAAAGATGATATTAGATGATATTAGGTGGACAACTTTTTTTACGAATGAACCTTCTCTTTCAATAAAAAAACGGGTTACAAATAATTAAATTTTTTTTGTTGTTTCAAGAATTGACAGCTTTCGAATAAATTGTGGACAAAATTCTTGTGGTATCAAAATTATTTTGCTGATTACTAACTAAACCGACAACAATTTAAACATAGTTTGTGTTCGCACTGCAGTATGCTGTTTAGTGGTCGCTCACTGCATGCTGTCGATTGAATTAAGGTCTTTAAAAGATCATATTTTAACCAATAATTGTCGATAATTTTTAACCAAGATGAAAATTATTGGTTAGATAAGAATATTTATTCAAATATTGACGTAATAGACCATCAAAGCGACCTCAAACATGCTCACAAATTAGTTGAAATACCACAATTTTATCAGTTTATTGCTCCTTATTATTGGTCAGTTTTGGTTTGACGGTGATTGCAGGCTCTAACTTTGTGACACCGTGCCAGGTACGAAGATCCATCTCATGACACACCTGGGTGAAGGGTTGGAATATGTGCCACAACAGCAATCTGCAATCTTGAACAATCAGGTCATCAGAGTCGGAATGATTTACAGCCGCTTCAAGACCGCAGTCACGAGTAGATTTGCTGATCTGAATGCTTCCTTCCTCGATGAAAAGATATTTCGGTTAGATAAATGATGATATCATTTTGTTACATAATCTATGTAAACTTAAGATCAAGGAACTTATAAATATAAACTTAAAACAAGTTAACTGTCCAGTCTGTACCAATCGTGGTCTTCAACCTCAGAGCAGTTTAAAAATATAAAATTCCAGCAACCCATGTGACTGGAAGTATGGCGGATCTAACACAACCTTTACCAGGTACATCTCCAAAGAGAGAACACTACTCCAAACCAATTTGCTGGTAATCCCATCTCAGCTGACATTGTCAACTTCTGAAGATCTGGAGAATATAATCAGCAAAACGGACGCTGATATTGAGAAGCTGAAAGATTTGAGTTTTAGTCTAGATAGTGGAGAAACCATTGTTATCAGCCACGCTGAGCGCACCTTCGAGGGTTTGTAGACAAATTTTCTTAACTGATAGTGATAATAGAAGATAACAATAGCGTATCACTTTCTCTAAAAAATATCGGTTATCTCAACTGCAACACGAAGTTGCATTAAAGCCATTATTAACCCAACTTTAATGTGGTGATGCTTTCAAAGTTTCGTACACGTCCAATTATGACTCATAATTTATGAGTAAAGCGTATATTTGAACGATGGATTATATCGTAGGAAAGTGCGGTGGTTTGACGGAGGTAAACAATAAAGGATCATACATTTGGAACGGTACTAACCAGACACTCCCCTGTGATTTCAACAAAGAGGTAGTTGCTCATGCTGTGTCGAAATGTACCTGCGATGATGATACGGTAAGTATGCTCTTACTTCTTCCTTCATTTCTCGCTAATACTAACCAGCATTCAGCAACCTGTCAATTTCTCTATTAAACTACTGATGACTTTGGATTTGGCGTACATATCGTTAAGTACGAATAAATTTTCCTTCGTAGGGGCTTTGTGTTCTGGATACCACTGGTGCGTATGATAACTGCTCTTACAAATCAAACAAGACCAAAGGCCTTGACGAATTAAATAAAGAGGTAATACAATCTATCTGCAGTAATTTTTTCGTAATTCAAAATTGCGTCATTTCATAATTTTAGTAGCTTGAGTTTTAACTACGTCACAAGTTCACGCGATCAACTGTTCAGGATATATCTCCAGTGGAAAAGGCTGACAAGCTGAAAGATATGACGGAAGATTTAAGTGAGGAGGACATTGACGAGGATGGGTGTGTACTTTCAATTTTAATTTAATTTTGAAATGATAAATTTTGTTCTGATTTCTGAATGATACTTGACGTAGCTAATAATCGACAATTCTACACATAATTTATCTCGCAATAATAATGGGAATTAAGATAACAGTGAGAATAAATATAACACGGCTGTTTCCATACCAGATATGATATAGGAGCTAACACGATATCTGACATCCTGGAAGCTGATACGGAAAGTTTGAGAGTGGACAAGGTTCAGAGGATGAATGAGAACGTTCTGGACGTCATTGATAAGTTTGCTAATGCCGGCGGTGTGGTGGCCTACAAGGAGGCTGTTGCTACTGACAAGTTAGTGATTTTCTGAGGAAATTTATTGTGTGCTTTTGAGCTTTCATGATCGTTTTTCTTTTTACAATTCTACAAATTCTTTTTGATAATTTTGTTGGGTTTTTAAAATAATTGTAGATTGATTGAATTTTCCTGTGAGAATTTATAGCTTTGTTTTATGTTTATGATTGATATTATAAAAGTCTCATATTGTGATACATTTTTTGTAAGGTTCTTTGAATAATTGTTAAATTACTAGAAGTTTTCCTGTGAGAATTATCTCGCTTTGTTTATGTTATTGATTCTTCTATTGTGATTGATTTTTGTGACTTAATGAGCTTTGTTTACATTCATGATTATTTTTCGATCAGTTGCACATGAAACATTAGATAATTCACAGCCACCTAAAGCTATTGTGAAAATCAACACTTTTTACAATCTAGCTCTAATAGTTATATGACAAGTAATCAATTGCAATTGTAAATATTTGTGTTGACAAGGATTATGTAATTGTTCTTCACTTTTAGTCATTTGATTTTAACACCTCTGCTGCCCAGGTATCTGAAAGCGCTGGACAAAGTGCTGTTGAACACAGACGCACCGACTGGAGGCAGTAAGGAGATTAGTAAAAGTAACATGAGGATGGCTCTGTTGAGTGTACCTAAAGATACTGACAAACAGTTGACCTTATCTTGCTCTAGTAAGTTCGCTGTTCTATAAACACTGACGTCCTAGGAGGACCATTCTGGAACTTTTTCTGCAATAACCTGAGAGAAAAAACAGAGCTTCTTAGGTAAAATGGTGTTACATGTTTATAGCATCCTTCTGAGTTTATTCCAATACACCATGTCAGGTAAAAAGTCGGATGGTGGGGTTCATATTACAGCTGGTGGTTCTGCTGAAGTCGGTGATGATCTGGAGATAGTGATGGAGATTCCTAAGGGCATAAGAAAATCCTTAAAAGACAACAATAAGTATGTTCTCAATTGAGATAGGCAATCCGTAATATTGAACTGCTTTTCAGTATTTTGAATTTGAGATGATGAGGTTTTATCGTGCATCTATTTGACAAATTTTATTTTACAGGTTTTATTTCGTGGTGTTTGAAAAGTCCACATTTTTCACAACAGAAGAATTGTTCACGGGAAAGAAGAAACTGCAGAGTAAAGTCTTCTCTGCTGGTGTTGCGGGAATTCCTGATATCAGACGTTAGTGATTGATCATATTATTCTTAAAGACTTTGCATAATCATCGCAAATCTTTATGTTGCATTCAGCGAAACGTTTTAGAAAATATCTTGAAATAGACATCCAAAAACTGGAAATACTTTTCAAATAATTTTAAAATGATTTAGATGCACTATCGATCAGGATGCAACCTTTAAATTTCAACCCTGTATCCTGTAGGGATAAGCCCTCCGATAAACTTCAAGATGAGAACACAGAATAGTTCGGCGGAGTACAAGTCGGAGTGTGTATACTGGAGAGATACTGGAGGAGGGGTCAGGGAACGTACGTGCTCTTCTCTGGATGTTACTTCAGCTCTATAGATTATACCCATTCAGCTGAAATAAAAACGGATTCAGTTTGATTAGAAATCATACAACTATCATGTCTGAACCCGTTCTGTTTCATAGCTCAAGAGTCAAGACCATAGATTATTGTAAAATCTTCTGACGTCTTGTTGATTATCACCTCTGACCACACCCTTCTCTTAACAGGAGAGATTAAAAAAGTTACGACGCTGGAGAGCAGTACAAAAGAGATTATCCACTGCCAAACTGATCATTTGACAAGTTTTGCTATCCTGATGAGCAGCACACCTCTTGCCGAGATCCACGAGGAGATACTAAATGTTATCACTTATCTGGGATGTAGTTTATCTATCATCGGTCTTATCTTATCTCTCGTCGGTCTATCCGTTTTCAGGTTTGTAGTCAGAAGTTTTTATAGCTCGCTGAAACATTTTACTCGAATAAGTGCAATAATTGTACAAGAAAATTATATATTTTCTAATTGGTCAATCGTGTTGAATGGATCTAATGATGGATTGTGGATTCAATATATTGAGGAATGAAAATAATCGACTTATTCTCGCTAGACTGCTCAGTTATACAATTAATTCTGACTACAACTCCCTTAGAGTAATCCGGAAACCTATGGCAACTAAAGTTCATATCAACATGAGTGCTGCTCTGTTGTTAGCTAATGTGACATTCATGGTCGGGATTGATGAGGTCAGAACTCTATTTTCCTATTTTTCATTGTACCTCTAAACTGTTGATCTTTGTTATAAACTCCGAAAAGAAACCTAAGTGTAAACACGATTTATACTATGAAACACTTTACCACTCCAATTTTCCCTATATTTAATCCCAACAATTATCCCAATTGAGCTTTGTTCCTCTCAGGTTGGAAGCCCGATTGCGTGTTTAATATGTGGTCTCCTGTGCCACTACTTCTTTCTGGCTGCTATCCTCTGGATGGGAGTAGAAGGGTTTCACCTCTACGTCATGATCGTGCGAGTGTTTGGTCATCTCAGCAACCGCTTCCTCCTCAAATGTGCTGCCTTTGCATGGGGTTGGTTCATTACTGCAAGATGGTGTTTCTATTATCTTGTAATTTTGATTACTTACGCTGTTCCCGCTGTACTTATCTCGGATGCTATGATGGCGATACAACCTCTAGCAAACTTTGTTTCTCTGCACCAGTAAGTTCTGCGCTCTCTTACTAATATAACTCCGCAGGTTTTCCAGCAGTAATGGTAGCTGCTACTCTAGGATGGGATGTCAACAACTACGAAACTATCAAATTGTTAGTCCCTTCTAGAACTTTTGACTCGGGCGATGGGCTGTGTTCCGTAGATCGAAATTTGACTATTTTCCAAAAACACTATATAATAATCTCTACTATGACTTACGGTATCTTACTGTACATAAGTAATAAGTATTACTTATGAATCAGTCTTCGACCGAAAAAATGTAATCCTGCCGGCTCGTCCAAGATCGAGCACCGTTATAATTAGACCTAACAACTATGAAATCTAACAATTTTTCAGTTGCTGGCTAACAAAGACACCGATGATTTGTTTCTTCATGGCTCCAGTTATGATTGTTATCCTTATAAACACCTACATGTTCATCAGAGTCACTCAAGAAGTAAGACTTATCTCTGCTTAAACTGACTGCAAATGCTCAACTAATAGAACACAGTACTATTCTAAAATATCTCTTCAATAATGTGGTGAAACTAAACCTTAACCCTCCCCTCAGATAACAAAGTCACAGAACAGGAAGACGGACAACCTCCCCTCAAACCAGCAGTCGGGCCTTAGTGATGTTCGAGACAAGTTGGTCCAGGTTAGGGCCTCAGTTTCAGTGATGGTGCTGCTGGGTCTGGCTTGGATCCTGGGTCCTCTCATGCTGCTAGACATGGTTCCTGCCCTCACCACCTCTATATCTTACCTCTTTACTGTCTGCAACTCTCTTCAGGTATTGTTTAATGTCTTACTTATAAAGATTTGACGAGCCCATCATTAGATTTTAGAACTCAGATAAAACTGGCACCTTTAATCGCAAGCTCCATCCCTGCAGTTAATCAGTCTATTTATACATAATTTTAATTACATTAACTTATTTTCAGGGTTTCCTCTTTTTCTTCTTCCACTGTGCAATCAAGACGGACGTTAAGGAACGTTGGAAGACCTATCTAGGTAAATATGATCTCAATATGACCTGATCAGATACTGATTTAAAGCACTCCGACCACCTGAGAATTTTAATTTCATCTCATATGGTTGAGTGGTTGTAATTCAAGACAATGGGATTAAAATAGGTCTAATGGGAATTGTGTTGTCGATTCAATTTAGGGCAGTAAATCCGTACTAATGCTTATTGGCTAATGTCTGGTCTGGCCTAATGTTGTTGGCCCAATCTCACTTATTACGGAAATTCTTTATAATTCAACTGATATTTTCAGGTTTGGAGATGAGCCATTCGCAGATGTCAGATTTCAGTAAAACGTACAACAAACAGAACTCAAAGCCTCAGCTTACCAATCAGAAGACTACCGAGTTTTCTAAGCTGGGTAAGCGTTTACTTACATATAATATGTTTTAAGAACATCATGTCAAATCACTTTTATTTCTGACATAATTATAATAATTCTTAATAATTATTATTATTTCTGACATAATTAATTTTGACAATATGAAACTATAAAAATTTGCTGTGATTGATGTTTTAGAATTTTCTCATTTCAGGAGACAGCGCGGCTTCGCTCAACAAGTCACTGCTCTCTTTCAAACCAAAAAACAAAATAAAACCTGGGCGACCAGACTCACCAGAGGATGACAGCGAACTTGCTATCGTGGACTTCTAATAATTACTGCAGACTTTTCAATTATTTAGCATAGCGACGAATCGTGTAAATTCTAAAAATAATTAATTGATATCTGATGTATTGTTTATTTTAATTAAAGACACTGATTAAGACAACTATTAAGACTTGATTTCTTTGACGTTTGTCTCGATCATGGTAGTTCGTTCAATACGAGATCGATTCTTAACAGTTATTTGATTTTGAAGTTTTAGTTGATTTTGAAATGTTATTGAATTTATAGATCCAGTAAAGGCGGAGGCATCAATACTAATTAATGGAATAGATCATTCTGATATCAGTTTTTTTATCTCACACTTATTTTACTTCGGAGTATTCCAACAGCCACATTGTTACACAAGTGTAACTAGCCAATTACAGGAAGCCGAAGGATTTAATTAGGCCAGTGACGGTTAAGGTAGTGTGTACCATACTTTCTTCGCCCGAGACTTCGCTGCAATGGACAGCTTCTCATTTAACCCTCACACACGATTTCTCGAATATTCGGCTGAGTAGACCGGGGGGCTGCATAGACCACTCAGGATCTTTAGCTGAATGCCGACGACACTCACCCCACGACTAGGCAGGCAGTGGGTTTCGAACTCGCAATCTCACGATTACAAATCCGATGATTAACCAACTACGCTACCTGGCCGTTGAAAATTAATTAAAATAAAATTTAAATTACTGGTAATCTTCAATCTTGTCAAAAGATTTCAACTTAGGGGTCGTTCACATATAATTACGTAATCAGCCGAGGGGGGGTTTCAAATGCTTACGGTTGTTAACGGGGGGGGGGGGGGGGGGGGGGGGGGGGGGGGGGGGGGGGGGGGGGGGGGGGGGGGGGGGGTTGTTCGTTGATTACGTAATCAAAAATTTTTACCGATTTTCGAAATACCAATTGGACAATTTTCGTTAATTATGTAATCGAAATTTTCGTTTTTTAAACCAATTTTCGTTTAGTAAGTGCTTTGCGATTGTTTCATTCACTAATCCGTTGTGATAGCTTTTAATAAATAAATGGCTTAACATGTAATAGATAGTAATAAAATTAAATCAGTATTATAAAATAAATTGATTACGCGGGGGGGGGGGGGGTCAAACCTTGATTACGTAATATAGGGGGTGGGGTTCGGACTTGATTATGGTTGATTACGGAGGGGGGGGGGGGTAAAAATTGCCAAAATATTGATTACGTAATATGTGAACGACCCCTAATAATATCTTAGATTTGAATATTCAGTACTGATCAGGCTCAACTTTGAATACAACTTTTGTCCCCGGTTGATACGTACTAGTAGCTACTGATATAGAATCAGATAATCAGCGTTAGATTCAAATTTTGTATTTTGGCTTCAAAGAGTTATTTGTGCAAGCCCCAGTATATTTTAGGTACTATAAGTATACACTTGATACATGTTTCGTATCCAATATCAGAGATAATATGATATTGGATATATATATAAAATTTTCCGCGAAAAGTGGCATGCAACGTATGTCAAGTATACACTAGTGACTAAGACTAGTGAGTAGTGAGCAGACAATCAACCACTAAACCTGATTTAAATTAAAATCGAGTGATAAACCGGTCATGTCTGATATTTACCACTGAGTTGTATTCGGCATTAAATACAATTGCAGATTTGTTCGTGGAAATGGCGACCCCGAAGAATCGGACGTTTTTCATTCTTACTGTGCGCACTGCGCTGTCAGTGTCACGTATCAGATTCGAGAAATGTTTCTAATTTTCTGTAATGAAAAAATTGTGCCAATTATTTAGGATATTGATCCGCTGTAGAATTAGATGACCAGTGACCACGTCCTCAATGAAGTATAAGTACCTTATCGGACTTTATTTGAACGGACATTTTGATTTAATGTTCGTTCACGAAATGTACGGTCAAATAACGTCCGATCAAGTAACTTTTATTTGTCTATATGCTGTATGCTCGTTTGTTAACTAAGTGGCAGATCATTTGCAGTTATGTTACTGCATACTTGATACTGGAGCCAGCGATCTGGAAGTGGAAGAAGCTTTAAAAATTACATAATACGTGCATGTGATCTGTTTAAACTTATCATTACATAGTTTCTGATGAGCTTTTTAAGCTGATTGACCGATTGTTTTAACGCAGGTAAAAATATTGGCAATTACCAATCGATAGTGTATGCAATGGTGCAGGCTCGAATCAAGAAATCGACAAACTGAAATAAATTGTGATGTTAGATCAGAAGTTGCCAGCTTTCAATTGATACCGGTTATAAAACCTTGCTAGAACCGCTCTCGTTCTCAGTTCTCACTGCTCATGAAATACTTTGATATCATTGGGCTTGGAGGATCGTGGCCAATTAAAAAATCTGCTTTATTTATAAAACCATGGTTTCCACTTTGACTCATTATTTCAGGCAGAAAATTAATTTTAGGGAAATTCATACTCTGGCCTCGATAATACAAAAACGCTGTAACCAGTGGCGTAACGTTGCCTGTTGGCCCCCCCCCCCCCCGCCGAAAAAGCGCCCCCAGCCCCCCTGTTGGCGCCCCCTTTCCTTTTGGTGCCCCTCCCTAAAATTGAACAAATTAGGTGATTTTAGAGGATACGCCGGTAAAATCTCTAAAAAAGTGTGTATCTAGAGCAAAACGCGCAGTTTTGCTAGTACTTTAGTTAAGTTTTCGAAATTGTCCCACATTCAAACGACGATTTGGCACCCCCTAAGACGGCGCCCCCCCCCCCCTGTGCGGGGTCAACGGGGCCCTTACGTTACCGTTGGTAGATGACTGGAACAATGGTCGATGAGTCCTGCCATCATCAATTATACCACTGTCATCATTTTGATTTGGGTCACGCTAGAGTCAATTGTTTTAACCATTAACACTAACGGTATTTGGTGTCTTATCTTAGAGAATAAACAAATTGACCTGCAAAGAGATCGCAATTTGAGAAGATCTAGGCAACTAATAATAAACCTTATCGGTATCCGAGAAGATTTACCAGGCGTACATTCATCTAGAACTTGAGGTGTCACGTACTGCATGGTGAGTCCTCACGGTAGTTAGTGTAATAAGCGCCAAGCGCGAGCACAGAACGAGCGTGCTAAATCACTCTACAGTCGATCTTCGAGATTGTTCTAAACCATAAACACTAAAAGGGCCCCCGACGGTTGTAACCAACTTCAATGGATGTATTTTCGGACGCTGATTCCGAATCACCCCCCATGACATAGGGTTAAAATGCTCCCCTGACGAGATATTGGCGAAAAACTGTCTCGATCACGTGATATGACCGTATAAGGAAGTTAGTCTAATTTCGTGTTAGGGTTAGGGTTTCAGCATATATGTTTTTGTTAAGGATTGGGTTAGGGTTAGGGTTGGGATCAGATTAGAGGGTTAGGGTTTCGAAAAGTCGTTCAGAACCAGCTAGAGAACGGGTTGAAAAAGTCACGTGACAGTCGAGTGTAGACTTAGAGTGATTAATCATCATCCAGAACTTTTTTTTCTCCGATTTCAATAAATTTGGTACCAAAAGTTGTCTAAAAATGTGAATAAAATAAATCCACCGTGTAGCAATTTTCGCTAAAAATGCTACACGGCGCTTGTTGTTGTTCGCCGCGCGTGCTTTTTTCGCGCAAATTTATAGTTTTTGGCCTATAACTTTCACATTTTCAATTATTATCACATAGTTATTATGGTATCGTAATCAGCTCATCGAGGCAAAACTTTTAGTACTAATATTTTAAGATTTAAAGGAATTTTTTTCAAAAGTTTTTAATCTGAACACAAGGGTCCCTGTAAAATTTGGAACAAATTTTCGAAAAATTTGGTGCTTTAAATATTATAATTTTGGTACCAAAAGTTGCGTCTGATTAATATAAGCTCATTACGATTCTGTAAGAATTATTTCAAAATATTCAATATTTTAGGAGTTATAGGCATTTTAAGCAATAAATTAACCATTTTTCGTCCTTTGTACACTTTTGTAATGCACAGGAGGCCCATATACATCTCGACGTTATCGTGCTACACGGTGAATTTTCATTATTCACAGTTAAAGGCAACTTTTGGTACCAAATTTATCAAAATCAGAGACAAAAAATTCTGTGCCAACTCATGGCGCTTATTACATAGACTACGGGGCTTAAGGCGGGAGCTTGGAGAGTGGGGACCATTAATTTGATAAACAATTTTGAATTTGTTAATCGTTTCGAGAGTATGAATTTTGTTAGTGACTATTGATGAGGAAGAGGTATGGTGCGAAGCGTTGAAAGATTTGACAGCAGAGGAAGAGAATGGCGATCGGAAGAAATTGCAGCTTTGGTCTAGTGGGATGCCAACACGGCAAATGATCGCTACAAAGAAAATTTCTTTGCGATTATAAACCCGGGTATCCGTATAAGTCGTTTGTTGCAGAAAGTATGACGATCACGATGGATCACAGGTATAACTATAGTGGATTCACAATTGTCATATCAAAGAGATACGGAGTAAGCAGAGGACATTTGGAGAATTTCAGGCAACACAGAGCAAACGGAATTCTGTTCCAACCCAAGCCTAGGAAAGTAGGAATACAGAGGAGTTGTTGAAAGTGTTAGGAGATCTGGTAGCGGCTACCTAGCCAGAGGGAATTCCCTCTAAGGCAAGGAACTTGATCTCGGAGATGAGCACGGAATTACTGGGCCGCGCTCAGCCTGTCATTCCGCCAAATCTATATTCTATGTTAATGAACATAATAGCCTGGGGTCCTCAGGTAAGCACGGAACTGAAGGTGTTTGTTCAGGACAAGGATGAACTCCTCCGAGTCCTGAAACGATTGGTGTGGAGAGTGACAGAGTAACATTGTTACGGGATCACGGAAAAGTTAAGCAGCGGGCTGCAATCGAATAGATGGACAGGAAAAGTGACACGAGAACGCGAAGATGGAGGAGGATAGAATTTTATATGAATTCTCCATCACGCAAACATTCCCCTTTTCGTCATAAACCATATTGTGCAAATGTATGTAAAAGATTTTGATTTTGCATTCATATTTCAGTAAAAGTCGACGATTATATGTATTTATCTGTAGTTCTTATTCCTTCGAACTTGAAATAATTGATTTAAAAAAGAAAACAATATTTTAATGTTAGTTTTACATAAAAACATCGACTAATACAAAACATCTATAACCCTTGTTTTATTTTTGAAAACGAATGATCAAATTAATTGCCAGTTTATCAAAAGAAACTAGGCGGTAACCAAATTCATTATAAATATAATACACAACTGAGCGTTGGTACCCAAAACATACCATCAAACAGAGCCGTCTAGTTTTGCATTCGTCGGAGATTAGACTTCGTTCCAGTAGACTTTCGTTTTATTAACAAACATAAAATATATAATATTATCACGGTTTTTACACAACATTGCATAACATCTCTTACAATCCCTGAAGTCGTAGTTTTAGGTACTGAAACGTAGGAGTATAAAAACAAAGGGAAAACATATTCCTTCTCTCATCAACATTTTAAATAGGTTTCAACGGAACAATCTTATGTTCACTTCAATCTTTGACTATCTCACGCAATCTCTTATCATCACAAGAACAAAACTCTAGAAAAGTGGCTTAAATGTTTGCCGGGCAAAGAAATAATTGACAAAAATTCAAAATGTCATTAACGAACACGATTATAATAACGGTAAGGAAAGCGAGATTGTGAAGAGAGTTGATAGCGTGGTGGGTACTGAGTGGCAGCTCACGTGGGCTGCTCACGTGGGCAGCTCACGTGGTACTGGGTGGCAGCTCACGGGTCGCAGAACAGCACACAACTATTAACAAGGAAAGGGGAAAGCAGTTCTGAGAAGGTTTCAATCGGCTGGGTGTTTGGGACAGCTTCTGTTAACATCAAACCACTGGTCTATGCACCTGGGAGAGAGAGAGAGGAGTTAGTTTTTATCGCTTTAATGTCTCGCATATTTCGACATTGTACTTTAGAACCAATTGGTGCACTCTTCATTCTTTATATCGAGTAACATTTGTCGGTTGCGGTGATAACTCATTACTTCGTATCAGTTTGGCGACTGGCATTAACTTTCTCAACATTTGTTTATCATCGTTTTGAATGGAATATGTAAACTGGGATATGTAAACTGCTGTCATGGTCGCGGTGGAGTTGTTGGCTAAACCACGTACGCATAGATATAAGTAGTTTATGACCTCAGCTAACTAATGACCATCTTGAAGCACTGAGGGGTGCGGCTTTGAATTTTTATATCTGGAACCAGACCAGAAAAGGATGTTATGGCTTGTATCTAATCTAATTTAGACTTATCTCCACATTCATCTCGGGTTTTTAGCTTTAGTAATACAAATTCTCAGATTACAACTACGCCCCCGTACAAGCTTCAAGCCTGAGGCTTGACTTTCTTTAAATGAATAAATATACCACACATCCTCGATATACCATAACATTTAGGGCGATACCGTCCAAGCTTAACGTGACCTACCTTACCGATGCTAAAGGCGGGGTCCCTATGGGGAAAAGGGATTTAAAATTTGCCGAGATTCTGCCGGTAATGCAATTTTCAGACAAAAGCCATGCAGTCGGAAAGGGAGGATGGGCCCGGATAGGGGGTCTGGTAATAAATTAATTTTGCTTTCGTAATATATGTAAGCGATCCCGAAGGCATATTTTAATAGGTTATTTAGATATTTCATTAGATCCTGGCTCTTAAGAGTGTGGTCGCAATTAAAATATCAGTGTTACCTCTGAAGTGTTACTTATGATACAGTGTTACTTCTGTTATGACATGCAATAATTCATATCCCTCATTAAATAATTAATATACAGAAAGTGGCTCCCATAGCGCGCGGTGCCTACAGATACGCTGGAAACAGTGGACCGATGTGCAGCTACTCAAGCAAGGATTAGTCAGCAGTAGGGAGGTCTGTAATTTGTACATCAGCCTCTATAGAGTACACATAACTATATGTAGACGACTTGGCTTCATGCCGCAATTAACTAATAACCTGTCCTTAGATTTTACCCTTGGGCTCACAGTCAGAGCACAGTTTGGCGGGAAGAGAGGGGATGCCGAAGGGTGAGCCTACAGTTTAATTAGTTAGGGGGTAAGGCGGTAAATAACTAAGACATGTCCGACCCTGCCATATCGGCTAACAGTTTTGGGCTTCAATAATAAACCAAGGATATGTTGGATCTTCACTATCTGATTTTCACAGTTAGTTATACCCAGTAACCCAGACTATAGAGTCATGCATCAACCAGTCTGCCGCATAGCTGCTATTTTTATCACCATACTTTTCCTTTAAAGTTATCGAAAAAGCATACAATTTAAGCACTCGATGCTGTTGCGCGCAATACTGTCTACAATATTAACGTGCGGCGTCAACCCTAACCGTACCGCGGCCGCCGCCCAATTGTTGCATAAAATTATACAGAATAAAGAAAGAATCCAGTAATTAAGGGAACTTTACACTATGTATTACACGCGGCCTAAGCTATTGAGTCACTGCAGCCACCATAATGCACTGAAGATATGAAGATATCCCTGTACACACAATAGAGAATGCTGAATTCCTTGCAGCCTGCAGGGTTAATTACCAAGACAATACGACCCAATAAAGAGTACAACTAACTCAAGTACTCCGCAATACACACTCCGGTAACTTTACTTACTTTTTGTGATATATACACAGACACTGTAATCTGGCTATGACGTTTCCTGAAAATGTCGGCGTGTGAATTTCTGGGAGATTAACGTCGTATTCTGAGTATTTTAGGTAAATTGATTATTAAAATCAAATCAAGGAAACGGAACTTTGAGAGCGTGAAGAACAGGTAATTATTAAATTATATGGTTATACGAGTATCACGTGTAATTTAAAATGTTGTTAACGTGAACAGTGTGATTTAAAATCTTGAAGCAAAGGCTTAGAAAATTCTTTTATTGGCCTGAAATAGCAAAGAACTAGGAAACATTAAAATAATAGAACCAATGATTACTTTAACCACATGAAATCAAGCATTCCATACTTTGTACAATTATCTCAAATCTTTCCTTTGTACAGAACGATTAGATACTTAACACGCTATCTACAAAGTACAAGTCACTTCCGACACACTGTATATTACAACTTAATGTGTTAATAGTATAGAGAACACTCAGTAAGTGACCGCTCAACAAAGACAGCTGCTACGGTTATCCACACGTTGCACAATGTTATATATAGATGGGGACTTGGGCGTGACCTCTAATTATCATTGAAGAAGTGCCATGAAAATATCACATAGAAGGGGTGGGACTTGTCCTAGAAATGACAATAAGGATTATTGTAACTTGACTACTTCTATTACATATTTTAGAGAGAACACTTCAAGTGATCGTAATTGTATGATCTCATCATAGTCTTGAGACCGGAGAAAATAGATATTATACCTATATCACAACTGTAGTATTGCTAGGTGGCCCAGTCCATTAGTTTCAATATTGATACTATCACTATTCAGTCTAGGTGATGACACGTTAAATAAAATACTACAGAACAATTAACTTACCGACTTCCATGTCATCCATACAGATATCACATTCTCCGGCCTCTGCCGCCAACACGTTTTCTGAAAACAATGATTTCTGTTAGTGATGGATAATAGCAGATATTAGATTTGTACGTTGATGTGTGTAGAATTGTTTTGTGAATATTAAGTAAAGTAAGCAGCACCGTTTGTTGGTTACCACATTGGAATTGAAAGGATCTCAAATAACATATCATTTAATGTTCACTTTATACAGTAAACACTAAACAGCTCACAATATAATTTCTAGTTCACCGCTCTACAGATAATTCAATTTCACGACTTATATTATCATTACAGTTTCTTCCACTTCGGTACATTATAGTTTGACAAAGATCCAGGCTACAGCTACAATCAAATCATCCTTTGAAAATAAGGGGATCATTCAATTGTGAGTTTCGATTTGGTTGACTTTTAAGATAAAATAATATTCCGTATTTCAATGACATCGAGAAATGATTTTATGTGAAACGCTGTGTGACATCATGTGCCAAATCTCACACGAAAGAGGATCGGTACTAACTTCAAGGAAGGAGTATTTCTAGAATATACTTTCAGTTCCCAAATGTAGATTAGGTAGAAAATAATCACAGTACAGTGTACACATTTAACTATGGAACTTATCTCGACTGAATTATTTTCACAACTACAAAGAGTTAGTTAATATTGCTAAGTATTCGATTTGATCATATCAATATTATGGTAATCTTTCTTCGCTCTTATGAGTGGGTCGATCATATAGTTTGATAGTTGGTGACGAAGTGAGAGTCTCCACTCAGTGTTTCAAAACAATTAGTTGTCGACGTTTAAATGACAAAGGCGTGTTGCCGAAACGTCGACAACTAATTGTTTCGAAACACTAAGTGGAGACTCTCACTTCGTCATCAACTATCAAACTATGTCTATATCAATATTACATTATAATCTTGTCGAAAAGATTGACCAGTCTAATATTTCAGAAAACAAGAGTAAATCAATACATATATTGCCCCCCAGCCTCCCCCATATATTATATTCAATACATCCAATATGAAATCAAATCTCTCGATGAAATTAATGTGAAATAAAGAATCGCCAACTTCTCGGAGTTCTAGAATATGAACACCATATCTCAACCTCCTTAAACAGGTAACCTTGTATTGGTTGTACGTTAAAAACGCAATACGTAAGGAAGATGTAACAACAGATTTAACAAGCTTGCTATGTTGCGCGACTACAAAGCATGGACCACTTCTAAAATCTAAGAGATAGTGAATTTCCAAGAAAGTACGCTTAATTTCTCAGAAATATATATCAATATTCTGAGGAACATTACGCATGCACACTCGAGCAGATTTTACATCAAAACCTAAAAGAATAAAGATATTCATCAATTATAGGACCTCAATTAATCTACCGACTAAGATTAATTAATCTAGTTACGTCACTGTGTAATCATTATCTCGATTCCCACGAGTTACGACTAATATAATCAAATCAAAATCTTAACTTCACCACCGGTATCACATTTATTATCATACGAGATCTACATAATATCTACATAACGAAGTTTTGTCGCAACACTATAACAACTATATGTGATAAGCTCAGTTAGTATCATGTTTAAGGGTACTCCTTGTATTCACTATTAACTTTTTTATAAGAAACCTTTTTATAAAAAGTTGGAGGTCGAGTATACTAAAATACGATCTCAATAATAGCCAGGTCTCAGAACAACTAAACTACCACTAAACTAGGGTTCTATCAATGTTGGATCTAATACCCTATATATATGTACTTTTCTGCGTAAACTTTCTCTAAAATATAAAATGGCTCATGAAAACGAAGGTTTGATGGTTGTGGATATGACAGCTGAGGGTGAATCAACTTATAAAATACTTCTTAATAAGGTTATAAGTTCAAGTAAAATATAAGGAGACAAGCTGAGATTGTTTCTTTGACTCCCTTTACCTTTACATGGTACTTTTTATCATTGGCAAACTTTCTATTAATGGACAGCTATATATTGATATACTACATGTATAAATCAAACACATTGCGTTCTAGTTATCAAAGTTTATAATTTATATAAGTAGGAGTTCCTAGAAAATTGGAAACTTTGAACACATTGACCAACCAGGGAAATAAGTTATTAATGGAATATTCATTGAAATGTATTACTCGGGAATTGTTAGTACTGTAAAGGAAACATTGTTTTTTTAATATCGCAGGTAATAATATAACTGAATTTATACATTGTATCACTCGTTCATGATGATTAAACTTTCGTCAATTTATAGAGAGCTCATTATTATATTAGTGATGTGATTATACTGATAATTTGCACATTCCAATTATGTAGATTATAGATTGTAGATTATGTGATTAATAAATCACCTTTAGTGTGGGCCTTCAATAACCATGTGAAAACAATAGGACGGAGATTGAATAATTTACGACACGATTTCTATTACATATTATAGTATTAGACAGACACGGTAGGTTAAATTAGTGAACAATGCAAATGGACATGATTTTATTAAGGCCAGAGGGGGGGGGGGGGGGGGGTAAAATTCGTTTTTCCAGATTTCACATATTTGATCAGAGCTGCTGGAGACGAACAAGAAGAAAAAACCGGACCGAAATCTGACCTTGCGTTTTTGAGATATCGCGCGCCAAATATTGAGGTTTACCTGTAATTACATGTAAACCTTTAACTGAAACTGTAAAAAGTTTAAAAACCTTAACTTGAGAAGACTGGCCACACCCAGAAGCTGAAACTTGGCACAGGTGTTCTTTGGGGTGTTAGGCAAAAACGTTATGTTTTAGAATTCTGATTTTTGCCATTGTTCTTGAAATATGAGGTTAACTTTAACCCAAATTCGATTTTATTTCGAATTTGTGGTAAAGTTAACCTCATATTTCAAGAACAAAGGCAAAAATCAAAATTCTAAAACATAACGTTTTTGCCTAACACCCCAAAGAACACCTGTGCCAAGTTTCAGCTTCTGGGTGTGGCCAGTCTTCTCAAGTTAAGGATTTTGGTATTAAAAAAAAACCGTTTCGAGTAAAACGAGTTTTGGTGTTTTCATTTCACTGTCAAAATCTCAAATTGTGCATTATTTTCCGTATTTAGTAGTGTCTCCATACAATTTTTGCTTTAAGGTGTAAAAAGATCTTCATTGAGATACTTTATATTGGGAAAATCAACATCATAAACCAAAATTTGTCTAAAAATGAGGTTAACTATCATGATATCTTGTAATAGTAGTAAAAATAGATTGTTAACCTCGCTATAGACCATATTACACTGGGATTGGTTTATCAATACATTGCTATACATGTAATAAAACATTTGCCCAGTGTAACGATAAAGTTTTTGAGGTTAACATGTGATTGACTGGCCCGATATTCAACAAATGAGAGGTTAACCTCATTTTTGAGCCATTTACGGGTGAACTCTTCTACTTAAACATGGTCATTCCAAATCACCTTTGTCACATGATAATATTTGAGGCATTGTAATACAAATAGATACCTCACTGTGATATTGTGGTACATAACAAAAGTAAGAATCATATGTAAATAATTCTTAAAGTACCAAGTGTGATGGTTAACCTCATTTTCAACACTTTCTCGAGATAAAATTAAGTGAATCAGCACTACATCTATTTAGAAATTTGTATGTCGTAATCTTACGATAAAAATAACAACTCTATCGTCTAATCTATTTTCGCTATACCTAAATTAAGAGGTTAACCTCATTTATAAACGTTTAGATAGCGTTTTTACTGACAATTATGAACCTAGAATTCAGAGTTAACATTTGCTGACCGAAATAACAAAAAATCTTGGAGTAAAATAACATCTTAACCTCAATTTTAGTAACCTCAACGTTGTAACCCTAATTTTGTAAGAATCGGTTAACCTCATTTATCAAAAAAAGTTAAGCAGTTACAAATATGTGAATGGCAGCAAAACTTTTGTCATCAAAAAATGAATTTATTTAAAGAATAATATTTTTGTAAAACTTTTTGAGCGTTTACCCCCCCCCCCCCCTCTGGCCTTAACATATCTCAAGAGACAAGATATTGTACCCATTGTACCCCTGATCATGGAATGTTATTTCCGTTCTGCATGTGATTTAATCCGAATCTCCTTTCAAATTAAGATAATTTTGGTCAAGTCATTACAACTTTACAAAATATTATCTAGATCTTTAAAAAGTAGATTCTGAATAATTTCAAAGTCAAGAAGGGTGTATGCCTTTACATCACCCACCAACACCTTCACATCACCTTTACATCACCTTTACATCACCCACAAACACTTTAACATCACCCACCAACACCTTCACATCACCTTCACATCACCTTAACATCACCCACAAACACCTTAACATCACCCACCAACACCTTCACATCACCTTTACATCACCTTTACATCACCCTGGCCTAGTGTGAGGTCTACTTCCGTAACTTCACACACATTACCATGAAACATAAACTTACAACCTGCCGTGACATGTGAGATTCTCTCCAACTCTTTTAAACACCGTGTCAACTGTCACGTGCTACTTTAAACAACAAATACAAGAAACTTTCCTCGGAATTCAACGATTATCCAAACGTTACATGATACTGTAAAGCGAAACTCCTGAATCCAAATGAAGCTGAATACGATTAGCATATCCGACATTAGATAACTAGGCTCCCGTCTGATCTCGGTATAAAATCTACACACTCTTTACCTCCTACCTTCATGCTTTAACGTACATTAACAAATGAGCAGAATTCTGACTCTGACCTACTTGGTAGATTAAATGTAATCTACTTGGTAGATTAAATGTTAATTTAGTTTGCTTGTCCAGGCGATTCATAATTTGTAATTCCCGACAAGTCCTGCCAACCACCCGTTTCCGGTCCGATAAACCAGAAAAAGGTATGAAATTGGTCCGCTTCCGGTCCGTCAACCAGAGCTCCAGACTGACCGGTCCATAATGCGAATATTATGTAATACAGTACTAACAAAATAACATGTAATACAGTATTCTGTTGATAAATTGTTACTTATTACTCCAAATGTATAAATTTCTTAAAGAAACCACAAAAACCACAGTTTCAAATGCTGGTATTTTTCAAGTTGAGAATAAGAACACAGGAAGTTCGAGAACCACACAGGACATTCTTTGAAACACAATCTAATTACTCGGAAGGATCTAGAACCTTCCAACTGAGCCTCTTTGGTTGAAAATGAAACAGTTAGATAACAGTTAGATAACTTAATGCTCTCAATTAGACGCCAATCTCTCTCTAGAACCAGCTATAGATAGATGATTCGAGAGGGATCATGCATCTTATAGTATGGAGGTCACGTCAAACCTTAACAAACTACACCATGTTCTAGCTTCAACTAATATCAGTGATTCAGTCGCGTCGTGACATACGTGTAACTTTGACTCAAACCACACTGAGTAATATTGCTGTTTTAACACATAAATTCAGGCTTGCTCAAAACGAAAAATTTTCTTAAAATACTGGAAACAGAATAAATGGCAAGAAAGCCTGTTAAATAAACCACAAAATTTGTGCAAATTAAGTGATCAAGTTAATTTAAACCCCTCAAAAGTCAAAATGTACATATGTTTGAAAACTGCAGGAACCGTAAAGTATCCTCCACTTGTGGAATTGCGTCATAACGTTCCTACCAGAATGCTGTTTGCACTATCATAATAATCTTGAGGTATTGCTAAATATAATGTTAATTCTGTGTGGCGTACGTGCTTAAATATTTCTTTATTGTATTATTATTGTGTTATGGCTGCCTGAATATTAAATGTGAACATCATATCATATTTCAATGTTAACTACGTTTGGACGGGACTAGTTTTATTCGATTTCAATGTTTGCAGCATAATAACAACAATAAAATGTCTTTAAATGAAGAGCATTAATATGATAAATAAATACGATACAATTATTACAATAATTGATTTAGATCAATCAACTATATAATAAATACTGTAGTATACTCCAGTACCACTATTGATGGAGCTGGAGTCGTTAGTGTAAATGATGCTTACAGTCACTACTTACAGTTAATTACTACTTGTACAGTTAGTAACTAGTAACTACTTACAGTTAGTTAATACTTACTGACTTACTGATCCACCCAGCAGCTTCTTCCTAGAACCCACGCCAATTTTTTAGTTTTGGGTTAAAATTCTATTGACACTATCAAATACAGAGACTATGTACATAAATTGTACATATAATTCTCTGCAGAGAATATGTACAATTTCTGTACTCAAGGAAAGATTTGAACCTGATATGACATTACACTGAATTCCAATTAAGTAATAATGCATCTATATTAAATTGAGCTAAACACCATCATGTATAAGTACAGTGAACATTACTAAATGTAATGCTAATTATGCTATGGTACACGTTACAACACACATTATATTATGTAACATTATTTAACGTAATATTACACGTACAATATATAAAGTTAAAACGTTATTTAACATGTAAAATACTTTTCTGGCCCTAGCACTCGCTTTACAACTGCCATTTTAACAGCTCGAAGCTGTATCCCACATTGCATTGTTCATAACATAATCTAAAATCTAACGTAACACGTAGCATTTAAAAACACGTACAACACATTATAACACAGACAGTCCACATTATTGTCTACTCGACACAGTGATGATGATGTAAAATGTAAAGCATGTAGTACACACACACACACTCTCTCTCTCTCTCTCTCTCTCTCTCTCTCTCTCTCTCTCTCTCTCTCTCTCTCTCTCTCTCTCTCTCTCTCTCTCTCTCTCTCTCTCTCTCTCTCTCTCTCTCTCTCTCTCTCTCTCTCTCTCTCTCTCTCTCTCTCTCTCTCTCTCTCTCTCTCTCTCTCTCTCTCTCTCTCTCTCTCTCTCTCTCTCTCTCTCTCTCTCTCTCTCTCTCTCTCTCTCTCTCTCTCTCTCTCTCTCTCTCTCTCTCTCTCTCTCTCTCTCTCTCTCTCTCTCTCTCTCTCTCTCTCTCTCTCTCTCTCTCTCTCTCTCTCTCTCTCTCTCTCTCTCTCTCTCTCTCTCTCTCTCTCTCTCTCTCTCTCTCTCTCTCTCTCTCTCTCTCTCTCTCTCTCTCTCTCTCTCTCTCTGCAACAGGAGGCAACTAATGATCCTCACTCAGCGAGCTACATTAAAATCTCTGTATAGTCAGTTAAATAACAAATCGTTACATTAATAATTCATACTGCATAAATTAATAAATTAACTACTAGGTTAGAAGTTTTATTAGGTTATTAGCTTTAGAAGTGATTATATAGTTTTTGGTTATTAAAAAAAGAAGTATTTTATTTATTGTTTCTAATTCTAAAGGGTAATTATTGATTCATAACTTGTACATATAAATGTTTTTATTGTGGTTAGTTTCTAAGACACATCCAAAAGTGTCTAACGTGTTTCTATCAGAAGTGAGCAAAATTGGATGATCTGCGCATGGCCAAAATCAGTTGTTATCATATAACTCCAAAATTAAGCATTTTTGGCATATATGTTGCTTCATAAGTTGCAATGTATATAAGTTGTATGTAAATGTGGCTATTGCGATCATTTTGAGCCCATTTAAAAGTTAGTGCGATGTTTAGAAATCAGAAGCCGATCATGTACATTGTACAACTATATTATATATGAATATTATACAAAAGGGCGATTTTCCCAGTCTGAAGTATTGGGCTACGAAGTGTTTTCGGTTCTATAAACCTCTGAGAGTCCACAACAAATGCTAAGCCCTCTACTATGAAATGCAGGTAATAATTACCTCATATTGTCCATATCCACCCAGACTAAGTAGAGTTACACATATTTCAAGTCCACAACAGCAACCTTCCCCACACTAAACCACCACTTACAACTACTACTCACTTAATTATTTAATCGTGCACTGTTTGTGCTAATTTATGGACAAATTTGTTTGTAATTTGGGGTGGCTCGATGAGACTTGGCAACCACACAAGAATTAATACACTTCTGGTATTATGACTATTAATCAAGCGCATTAGTGGATTCCTTTGTTTTCTCTCAGCATTTCAAAAGAGCCACAATGCAGCGGCTGTTTTGTACTCATACTCTTTGTAGTATGCGAATTCAGGTATGGAGACTGACTGCGTGTCAAACTATTTATTGTGAGGCCGAGGTGGAATATTTGAAAAGTTACAGATTTCTAGGCGCTGGCATTGAAAAATTCAGAATTCAGTCAGGAGCAAAATTCTGAATTCTATACTGAATTCATACTTGACTATGCTATTAAAAATACAGAGTAGCTACTTTTATTATAAATTAATAACAACATTAGTTAAGTAAGACAAAGAACTAACCATTATATGTGACTCTAGGTTTAGAAAGACAAAGTACTAAATGCTCCTCGATATCGTCTCCCATCAGCTTCTTGCTGCATACCGGACATTTTACTGAAAGAGAAAGGTTACAATTACTACTTCCCTGTATCCTTGATTAATCCAGGATACAATCCAGGACCATCCAGGAAATGGTTTACTAGAAATCGGGAAAATACAGGATATTACCGTTCTTTGTTCGCAGCTAAACTGCGTGTGTACAGAGCTATAGCTCATGTTGAGAGGAACACACAGACAATGAGAATATATCTAGCTCGTGACACCTCACGAGTCAATACAAAAAACACGGCATTGTCATATATTATACAGCTGAAATGATGGCTTTCTCAACATACAAGATGGTGGTACAATGTAGAATGTATGCTTACTTTAACCACGTAATAGCGGTAGCGCTAGAACCACTACCTGCTACCGCTATTACCTTTAAAGTTGTAACTTTGTCACATACTAGTTTAACAGCTGATACAATCAATAATACAACTTAATTGAGTATTGAGTGAGAAGAAGAATGTTATGACTAACGAAGATAACGAAAAAGGATGGCCTGTAGCAGGAAACGTCCGATACTAATGCTTCTACAGAACTACACAAGTGCAAGTAGGTAGGTAAATATTTCATGCTAGGCATGTAGCAACCATTACGGTAACCATCCATCGAAAAAGGAGAATATTAAGAAGAATGTAAAGAAAAATGAGAATATTAAGAAGAATATAAAGAAGAACAACAACAACAACAACTCTCACCGTTACTGGCCCAAAGGGTGTGGCTGGGGAAGGTAAGTCTAGCGTTAGGGTTGGGGGCCGAGTTGCTCATACCCCACAGGAAACCCATATCAGGTCCTCCGGGGACCCGGACTCTCTGCTGCCTGATCGGTCTGAAAATATAGTGAGGTAAATAAGCTTAACTAGCATAACGTAATCAAGAAATATAAATACCTTAACTAGCATAACGTAATCAAGAAATATAAATACCTTAACTAGCATTATCAGGGAATCTCCAGGATTCAGTGGGGTTCAAGGGGTTAGCAAGGACACGGTAAATATTGTGACTATAAATTAACGTATTATATGTAGCTTTGTCAACTTTTCAATTTATACCATTTATAGAAGTATGACGCATAATTTTGTCGGATTTTATTCCACCTGCTCCCCAACATATTCGCGTGATTTGAAACTGTGAATTTTAACCTTAACAATAATAGTCTCGAAGTGAAATCATCAGACAAGTTTAAAAACAGAAATAGACACGGATATGAATTCCTAGAAGCATCATTCAAATTCTGGGAAAGTGACAAAGTCTTTAATCGCTCGGTCTGATGTAATACATACTTGAGCTCTTAATCGATATTATCTCTAAAAAACCCATACAAATATATAATAATGAAAGTTAAAGTTTATTAGGGAAGATCAAGACAATGAAATGACGTCAAGCTTTAAATTTGGACCAATAACAACATTATGTATAAAAAATGAATATTGTACAGAATATTATCCAGCCAGCAACTTTAATATTATATCTTAAAGTGACTTTTCCTTAATTGATTTACCCTGGATGCAATTGATAGATTGGTGTGGATTTAGGATTATAAAGTTAAAGCTTCTCATCTTGATAAACTTAATCACTGAGCGATAGACCATGAAAAGCGAATACAGAGCTAGCATCCGCATATTTTCATTTATTTGCATTGATTATTATATCTATGTATTTTGTAGAACACCAATTTGCAAAAGTGGACCTAAGACCTCGATAAAAGTGTTTAAACAAGTATTTTAAAGGGCCAATACAAATATTTATCATATCGATATGTTTAAATTAATATATTCTATAAATAAGATAAGATTTTGACTTAATATAAAATGTTACATCATAAAATAACAGCTTGTAATTGTATAATTGGACCACTAAGTTATATAATATATACTGAATAATTTGAGCTGAATAATATAAGTGTTACAATATTTTGTAACATAAATTGTAACATAAATTGTAACATAACATGTATATTTCCAGCTCTATTCACCAAACACCCCAACTTTACGCCTCATAACTTTCTCAACTTAATAATGTGAAAATAAAGCTTCAAACTCGGCAGTTCTGGACGATTACATCATTTTTACCACAACCTTAGAGACTGACTAGCAGATCAAAGACGTGATGTGCGTGATGTTCGTCTGAAGGTTATTATTAGTAACCATGAGGCATGAACCTTAATTAGCACTTCATTACTAAGATTGGTTTAACGATCAAAGAACTAGACCCCTTTTACTGTAAACAGGCACCGCAGATCTGCAGCCATTACTAACTTTGCTCCTTACAATTCCTAACTTACCAACGCTCAACAAGATTATTATACCAATACAACATTAAGTAATCCCTTAGTCATCAAATCCCCATTCCCCCTATAAGTTAATCACCAGTAAACCAGTAATCGTTCTATAATCACGGTAACTCTCCACCGGGACCACAAGTTGAAACATGTGTCATGCGGTGAAACGGATTAGATTTGTGTCAGCAGATGTCTTGTTGTTCACGTGACATGTCATGTGACCTGCCATGTGACCTGTCCGGACTCTCCAATGAAACAAGGCCTACACCATCTCCTGACTTAGATGCCTATCTTGAGACAATATATTGGGTATTTTGTTGCTGCGGCACCTCCTGTCCTCACAATAGACATTATATGCCCACCACCTGCCTGGCTGGTATTGTAGCCACAGGTATTGTTTTCAAGACCCGGGTATCACCTCTTCTATTTCCATTCTGCTCTGTTTAAATACCGCCTCTATTTCTCAGCAGGATCATACGGTCACGGACAGGTTGAACGATTTTTATTTTTCTGATTTTCTCTGTTCGGCAGTAGTTGATTCGATTTAGATGCCACAGGCCACTCATGATTATGGCTGTTGATATTTAATCAACTCTCAAAATCTCAAAGTCTCTGAAACTTTCTCTCTTGTAGAATGTGTCTAGAAACAGAGAGAAGTGTCCCAGAGTTTTGGTTTGGATGGTGCTACTTGGTGGTGATGAGTCTGGCGGCCCTTGCTAACATCGTCCTCATCACCTTCTTCTGTGTCAAGAGGAAGTATCACCGCTCTTACAATATTGCTTATCTTAATCTCGCTTTCACTGACGCCATGGCAGCTCTCTTCGGAGCTACTTTCCGAGGACCAGGTTACAGTCTACAATATTTGTTTGTTACCTATCAGCACTCAAATATTCAGTATTAATAGGAGTCTGCTATTTCACGAATTTATCGTTTAAAATGCACTTTGTATATCCCACAATCTATTTCCTCATCACCTCATCAGGTTACATACTCGGTATCAGATCAGAACTCTCTTGCAACTCCAGTATCTATCTAAGTCTCCTTATATTCCACGCCAACCTGGCCTCCGTACTACCAATAACCATTGATAGGTTCACTGCCGTAGTTTATCCTCTCATGTGAGATTTATTATTTTATTAATTCTATAGGCAACCCGGTATTGTCGAACAGATTGGTCATTGCAACTTAAGGTTATTTGAACATATTTGGAATTCATTAACTCTACCAATAAATAAATTAAATCGTAAGTCTAACCAGTGTTCTTAGTTCTATAGAAATCAAGTAACTCTCTCCCATTCAGGTACAAAAGTTCAGAGTACCGCAAGACAATCTTCATCAGCATTACACTGGTTTGGCTACTTTCAGTATCCTTCATTGTCTCCCTGGTTGTAGTCTCCCACTCTAAACACTTTGATCTCATTGTGTACAACACAGCAACATGCTTCTGTGGGTTCGGAATGTGGCAACATCTTGATGTTGCATTCTACATCAGAGACACTCTCTTCATGTACATGCCCTTACTAATCAACCTCTCTCTTTACATAATCGTTATAAAACAGCTGAGGAGTTCCAAGAAACGGTTCAGGTCCATGCATGGGTACGTGATCCTGCTTAGATTCGCTATAATCTGTGTTCTCTTCACAATATCCTGGCTACCTCACGTTGTAAGGACCTTCTTGTCCCTCTCAATGGATATAAACCACACAGTAGCGTTAGCTAGCCAGCTGTTCCTTTACATGAACTGTGTTACTGACCCCCTCATGTACACATTACCTAACAAGGTCCTGTTAGCTTGCTTCAAGAACAAGAACAACTTTATCAACGAGAAGAAGACATTTGTTTCAGTTGAACGAAGGAAAAGCTCTGCTCAGGAAATAACAAGGGCAGCACGACAAATCTCGATGGAGAGCAAAACTTTCTCAATAACAGGGGACAGTGTATTCTGTAATAGTTCAGCGGTGTAAACGGAAAGCTCTAGGGACAGGTTGTGAGGTTTAGGACCATTTAATCCTTATACTGAGCACCAGCCGATATTGAAGATAAATTGAATTTATTGCATTTGTAGACAACATTTCAACTACCCCAACTAATTTTATTAAATTGGAGGCTGTTACATATTTGAATATTTAAGTTAGACTACTATTTGATGTACAGTTTTACTGTTATGATGAAAGCTTTTAAGAAGGTTCTGGAGACATAGGATCGATATGATTTAAACTCGTCCAGAAGCTAATGTAGTCGAATACAGCTTAATTCTGAGATCCTGAATAATGAAACGAAAAGTTTCAATGAAACGAAAAGTTTTATTTTACATTCCTTTAGTCATAAATAAAATAAGAGCTTAAACCACGAATTAGTTAGCTAGAAGTAAACTTGAGGAAATATTTTTGGTGATTGTATATAATTATTTAAAAAACTTTATTTGGTTGTTAGTATTTTAATTATGGTAAGTGGTTGAATTTAGTGAGACAAGGTCAGTTTCTCTATTATCTTAGAAAAATTTCTACTTTACAGTAGGCAATGCTGAGTGGCAGGAATGAGGGACCAAAACGCTTGGGGCTAACAATGGCCCAAAATAGTATATCACAATTCCATAACGGCTATGTTTCATTTCGAATACTTACTTGTACTTGTACAAGTTCTGGAGATGAAGATGGATATATCTAAAATTCTACAATTCTACAATTCTAGCAGCAACAATGAAAATCAGGCAATCCCAGCCCTGGCTAGCCAAAATGTGTATCCTGGTAACTCAAATAAACAGTTACTGGTATACATTGTTACTTGGTCATGGGGCTACATATGGCCCCCTGAGTTGCAGCCGCTACATCTCAGGGGGCCAAAAAAATGGGTCTCAAAATTGGATGCGTCAGGGGCCTGGAGCACAAAAAGGAAAGTATTAAGCAATCCATTTAATTTTAATAATCCATTTAATTTAACTCATTCAATGACAAAAATTGACGAGGTCACGCAAACCCCCCCCCCCCCCCCTCCCGGTCCCCCTGCCCCCACATTTCATCATTTTAAGACTGGACTGTTTTAGGAGACAATGTTAATAATTGTAAAAGCTTTCTCATTAGAATTTTTTCAAAATATTATAATTATAAAATAACATCAGGAAGACAACAATGTTGAAAACAGTTTGTAATAAAAACTTACCTGGATCCAGATGGTGCGCTCATAGAACTAGACATGGCACGAATAGAGCTGCCACTGCCGCCTCCACCAACACTGATGGACCGCGCGCGGACATTGCCGTTGTCGTCTAGTTCCTCTTCTTCCCTTGCCCTCAAACTGTTGATCTTGTTACCCATATGGCCGAGATGATTCCATTCCTACTGATCAGTTAATAAGATTAAGAAAAACTGTAATAAAAATTAAAACCTGTCACATGGGTTGAAAAACCTTAACCTGGTAACCTTGTTGCCTGCACAAGAGCAATTATAACTGCACATATGAATCATATCTGCACAAAAAACTTTTCTCAAGGCATGACCTATCAGAATAATTTTGTAATTTTTTGTCAAAGAGGGATTCTGTTAAATGCGAGGACTTCTTGGAGTTGCATTCAGATTTTGTTCAGAACAAGAGTGTTCAACATGACACGTTGATGTCTGAACTTGAAACACTTATGGCCAAGCAAACTGCTGTGAAAACTGCCACAAAGTGGCTCACTTCCACTGGAGAAGAATATGTATGGTCTTCCTCAAATGGACACACCACGACTAAGGAGCCAATCGATATTTTAAATTATCCTGGGATATCAGAGCTTATGCATGATATCAACTCCAAGTTTGGCTGCAAGCTAAACTCATGCCTAGCAAGCATGTACAAGTCTGGTTCTTGTGCAACTAGGTACCACAACGACGACGAGGTGGCTCTTGACCAGTCGCAAGGTATTTATGTAGTTTCATTTGGAGCTGAGAGGACCCTCGACATAATTCCAGAAAATGGGGATAAGCGATGTAACAGTAAATGCTATATCACCCCAAAGGACTGTAGTTTGTATATTATGAAACCGGGGTGTCAGGAATATTGTCTTCACAAGGTTCGTGCAGAGAGCTCAGTTAAGGGGACTCGGTATAGCTTATCTTTTCGCTGTCAGATACCGAAGACAGATACAAATGTAGTCAGAGAGCAGATTGTCCTCCCTACAATTCCTATGCCGCCCACCACCACCTCAACACCAACCCTTTACTACCGAAATGCTCCAAGAAAACCGAAGAGCAGGAAAACCACTGTCCTGTTTGGTACGTCAATGACAAAATTCGTACGGACAAATAAGTTGGGATTCCGGGGAAGGAAAGTAATCAATGTGTCTCAAAGTGGTGCAAAAATTAGAGACATCACTGAAAATATTCATCATTTTCATAAAACTCATGCAGCTGCAGAAGCTGACGATATTGAAAAGATTATATTGAGTGTTGGTACAAATGACATTAAACATTCTAAGTATGGGGTTCAGTTCCTTAGGAAGTATCTTACTGAATTAATTGACACCACTAAGCAGTTATTTCCCGCTGCAATTATAATTATCCAATGTTGTCTTCCTATTAAGTGTTTATATTCCTACATAGCAAAGAATGTTCTAGATTTTAACAATCTACTTAAAGACTTATGCCTAAAGAATAATTGCGTGTTCCTAGACTGTTTCTCAGACTTTTTAACCCGAGACTTTAGATCATGTAATGAACTTCTATACCATGATTGGCTTCATCTCAACATGAGAGGAGTAGGTTTACTGTCCACTTGGCTTAAGTTTGTTGTAAACGAACACAGTTTTGACAGGGTTGTAAATAATCTTCTGAGAATTTAAATCTTTGATCTTTTCTTCCATTTAATATTTTGATTAAGACGTTGCGCCTAAAATTAAAACTCAAACAAATCTCTGATTTAATCTTTTTCACAATTTTATGCCTCCCATTTCAGGTATATTCGGTCACTGTCCATTTTCCAACATGTTAGACAATGAATCGTTTAGACTTAGAATAGGTCTTTTTGCATGCAAAAGGCCTCGTACACAGTCAAGAAATGCACTTTTACATATCAACACGTGTATACCTAACAAAATTTACACATTTAAGTCTCCATACACCCCACACATCAACTACAATTATCATAATCATATGTTTCTCTTCTATTCTCTCATCATGACTTACTTTCTCCCAATTCTTCTCTCCACGGTTAGGTCCATGAACACCGTATTCCCCCTAGATTCTGATATTCATTCCTCTCTACTCCTTGACAGCCCACGTTATCTTATACCATTTCTTGCTTGCTCCCACATCAAACTTTTCTTTGTAATTATCTCCTCATGGTTTATAAGAAATGTTCTTCTCCCTGGTAAGATTAATAGAGTCAAGTATTCCAGCCGCCTCAGGCGTCTAGTCTCTTTATTCATTCTTTGGGTTTTCTCTCTTAACTTTCTTTTGATAACTCTTGTTAATCCTTCTATGCTTAATCCAGGTCCCAACTCCCTATCTGTACTATACCAAAATGTCCAAGGTCTTATTCCTTTCAGTAACATAAGCTCCTCCCATCCCCTTCTTGATAGTAATAAGATTTCCGAACTTCAATCCTTTGCTAACATAGAGCAGCCTGACATAATTGCCCTAAATGAGACTTGGCTCAAAAAGTCTATTTCTAGCAACGAAATCTTTCCTTCTTCTCAATATGAAATCTTCCGCAATGACCGCACGAGAAAGACTCATCCTCAAGATCCTAATAACCCTAAAAAGTTTAGGGAAAATGGAGGTGGTGTTCTTTTGGCTGTTCGGTCTGATCTCGATGCCACTACAACCCGACTACCAGTTAGCCTAGGTGCAGAAATGCTTGCCGTTAAAATTGCTTTTCCTAACAAAGAGAGTAATGTAATCTGTACTTGTTATAGAGTAGGAACTCTTGGGTTACCTAATCATGATGTCATAGTTAGTTATATTCGCAAGCTAGTTTCCAAAAAGAATCCCCCTAAAATCTATGTTATTGGTGATTTTAATCTCCCCCATACAGACTGGCTATCTTCATCCAGTACCGTACCTATTGAGCAATCCTTCATAGATTCTTTCAGTAATCTTTCTCTCTCCCAGTTGATCACATCACCCACCCATAAAAGTGGTAATACATTAGACATTCTTCTCAGTAATTATGATAACACAATCGATAACTTGAATGTCTGTGATCCTCATTCCGTGTGCAAATCTGATCATTTTCCTGTCACTTTTTCAATTAAAAGCTCCTTTTCCCGCAAGAAAACTCCTAAACGTAAAATCTATAATTATAAGAAAGCAAACTGGGACATGATTAATCGTGAATTATGCTCGATTAATTGGCAAGTCCTAGAATGCCTAGATCCTGATTCGTCTTGGAAGTTAGTTAAAGACTGCATTATGAATTTAGTTGATATACATATTCCTAAAGTAACTATTAAATCAGAGTTTCAACCCCCGTGGTTCGATAGTGAACTTTTTTCTTCATGCCGTAAAAAAGATAGACTCAGAGCTAAATTTAAAATTTCTGGTTCTATTTCTGATGAGTTAAAGTTTGTTACTAGCCGTAAAGATTTTAAGAGGCTTTCATCAGCCAAAATAAGAGACAATCTTTTCAATAGTGATGATCCAGCGCTTATAACTAAGAAGTTTTGGTCACATGTTAAGTATAAATCTAACTCCTGCCGTATTCCTAATTGTGTTAGTTATTCTGGACAGCTTCGGTTCAAACCCAAAGCTCAAGCTGAACTTTTCAATTCTTTCTTTTATAACCAGTTTTCGGATCCTTCACTTTATGACACTGACATCTCCTATGTCAATGATGTTGATTTTGATATTGACTTTGATCATCGGGATGTTCGTAAGCTTCTTTCAAATATTAATTCAAATAAAGCCCAGGGACCAGATGGCATACACGGTAAAATTCTCAAAAATTGTTCCGTAGGTTTAGCTTACCCTCTAACATGCATTTTTCGTGGATCTTACAACAGCGGCTACATTCCACAAGAATGGAAACTTGCAAATGTTGTCCCAATATTTAAGAAAGGTAAGAAAAGTGAGGTTGAAAACTATAGACCAATATCCCTTACTTGTTTAGTCATGAAAGTTTTTGAGCGCATTGTTAAACGTAAACTGCTTTCTTTGACAAGTACCCTTCTTGATCCCAGGCAGCATGGTTTTCTAGAGCACAAGTCATGCACAACCAATATGGTTGACTTTTGTGATAGCCTGGCATTGTCTCTTAACGAAAACATTATCAATCATGTTGTGTATTTTGATTTTGCTAAGGCATTTGATTCTGTAAATCATGATATCCTTCTTCATAAGCTAAAGACCTTATATAACATTGATGGTACACTTCTCAAATTTCTTACCAATTACCTTCAAGGCCGTTACCAAAGAGTGGTTATTGGTAATGAGATGTCATCTACCCTCTCAGTTAATTCTGGTGTCCCCCAGGGCTCTATTCTTGGTCCCTTACTTTTTGTATTGTTTATCAATGATATTCCTCTTGGCCTTTCGGATAATACTGATATTGTTTTATATGCCGATGATACAAAAATCTGGCGTAAAATACATTCATCTTCTGATAATACTAATTTACAAATGGATATAGACTATCTCTCTGACTGGGCACTAAGAAACAAAATGCGATTCCATCCAGCAAAATGTAAAGTGCTTATTGTTTCAGGAAAACCATCTTTATCTCCTCCGTTCGCATATGATCTTGATGGCTCTCCTCTTGTGTATGTAGAGTTAGAAAAAGATCTTGGAGTCGATGTTACTCCTAAGCTAAGTTGGAATAGTCAGTGCGACAGAATTTATACTAAGGCCTGCCAACAACTTGGTATGGTCAGAAGAGATGGCCATATTGTCATTGATCAGAAACGTCGCCGGGCGCTTTACCTCTCCCTGGTTCGTAGCCAATTCGAAAATTGTTCCATAATCTGGCGCCCTTGTAATAAATCACTTAGTGATAAATTAGAAAGTCTCCAAAAGAGAGCTATTAAATGGATTCTGTCTGAAGAGGGCCGCAGTTATCCACCTGAGCAATATGTCAAAAAGTGCAAGCTTGTCGACATTCTCCCTTTGTCTCAAAAGTTTGACTTGAATGATCTTATTTTTTTCCACAAAGTTCTTAACAATTTAATTCCTGTATCGCTGCCTCACTATCTCTCTTTATATCAGGGCACTTCTCGACTAAGACGTTGCCACCTCGACAGTCTGTCTATTGTGTCATCAATTTTACCTAAGTTAAGTCAGAATTCACACACCACATGTACCTCAAATAGCCCACTGGCAAAATCATTTTTCTACAGAACCCATATACTGTGGAATGGACTCCCTT